TCTTTCGTTCTCCATACACCCCCTTTTGTTTCTTTTTTTACTCAATATCACACATTTATTAATCAACAGAAAGCGTCATTTGAACAAGGAGACGATGTACAAAGCTTGGTTAATAGATCACAATAACTTGATAATAACTCACGAGGACGATCATCTGAGCCCACAAAAATCACGGATTAGATTCTCCAAGGTATTTCAACAAAATGTAAAGACTGCCGAAATATATTATCTTTCTGATTCTGAATGATTCACAAAAAGTTTATAGCATCTTTTCGTCTGCAATCCTCACGTCTCTTCATCCGTTCATTTTCATTCATGCATTAACCCTTCCACCCATTCATTCAACGACGGACCCGTCCGTCCCTTTGTACATCTGTAACGTCCGTCCCTCCGTTTATTCATTCAWCTATTCGTCCCTCTGTTCCTCCATTCAACCATCCAATTATTTATTGATATACTTTTGAATTTCAGACCAATTCAATTGACCATTTAAGCTCTGCGAGTAAAGGTGATAAGCACTTAAAACCTTCCTCTAGTGCAAGATTCAACACTGCCCTTTACAAGGTTTGAAACTGTCATTAGAATTAAATACAYTTCCAGATATGACATAGACTAGTAACTTCTGTTATATTTTAGCTCAATTCTAACGCGGCGGGCGCTGATTGACGGCTTTCATGAGAAAATGGTGGGAACTAGCGGTAAACTAGTGTGAGCTGCGTCGGTGTTTCTAAAGAAACAGTTGTGTAAAGAAGATAAGTTTAACACCGTAAAAAAGTATGGGAAATAACTTACTGACGTTTCGGATGTTAATCCTTCGTCGGAGTAAAGAGGCTCTTTACTCCGACGAAGGATTAACATCCGAAACGTCAGTAAGTTATTTCCCATACTTTTTTACGGTGTTAAACTTATGTTCTTTACACAACTGTTTCATGAGAAAAGCTATGGTTCATTTTGCCGGTAAACCAGCCTGCTGTATTGAAAGACCTTTGAGTCTAAATGGAGGACGCCGGCCCGCAAATTTTCTGCTATAATATAAAATCAATAAACAATAGCTTGAAGCAATTTACTGGAGAAATAAA